TTAGCTATTTATATTAATGGAGTGAGTTATCTCGGTAGATATAGAACAAAGATACCAAATATCGTAGATCTATATCTTTAACTTCTCTTTGATCTCCACATTGTATAATGTCAATGCATGAGTTCTATTAGTTTTCTAGGTAAATAAATCCGTTGTCATAATCAACAATGTTTATATTGATTACTTGTGTTGAAATAAAAATATTAGGATGAGTGGAGCCTCATGCTCCCTGAAAATATAATCCTCTCAGGCTTGTTAATGATTATATTTAGTCGAATCTCGTTATGTATAAGCCAGTGAGACTGTGGGAAAAGTTCAAGATAACCAAGTATTCGATTTAAGTGGGTTTGGTGCGGTAACTTCGAATTAAACGGGTCTTCGCTTTAGAAGAGTTCGAGATAAAGAGGTTAGACTGTATATAAGAACAATTATTATTATTATTTGTTTTATATTATTTATAATAGCGATCAAATTATAGCGCTAAGGCAGGATTGCATATTTAAATATTACCGTAACTATCCGACTATTTTGAAAATGAAAGAAATATTGCAGCTTGTTTCTGGGGGGAAAATGTGAAATATTTATGTGAATCCTAATGGTTAAAACTTATCTCATATCTACAAAAATACAATGTATGGTTTCGATTTTTAGAAAAGATCGTCTTTCTTAACGATGCTAGTTTACTTCTTTTGACAGGAAATGTATGAAGGTCGAATGTGCAAACATAACAAATCCATCGAAATAACTTTACTACTGGCATGTTCTAGCTCTATAGGTAACAGAACATGTGCACAAATCCTTCCTATAACAAAACTGATGTAGTGAAGCACTCCAAACGCATAATCTGTATTATTTGTATAACAACAGAGTGGTATATTACATTACACTAATACTGTTAAATACGAATTATACAGAATATATATATATACGTATATTGCTTCTGTGAGATTGTACAGAGTAATTAAAACCAACGATGTCCGTCAGCCACTTTAGCAATAAGGAGAGCAGATGTAAACCTACTCGAAAAGTACCGATGATCCTTAGAATAGTACCTTATAAAACTTCAATTAATAACTAATTTATTCTTAAATAATTATACCTGAGTCAAGTAATATCATGACATAATACCGGAGTTTGCTACATGATTTCTCTGACAAAAGAAATCAAGAACAAAAACATCTCTCTGATTGATTTATTGGTTGACGTATTTAACGTCCGCTGCCGCCGATGTAATCAATGTTCAGCAGACGCGAGGTGGTGCCCTGTGTTATTCCTGCCTCTGTGAGACATGATCCTGTCCATTTGGTACGTTGCCAGAGTCGGGCCTGCTCCCCGGAACTGCGTAATTCGTGAATCCTTTAGGGAAAATAGATGCAGTCGTTATCGCTACAATGTCTCATTGCTCCAATGAGTTCCTTTATCTTTGTTCTTAACTTTGATGTTACTAGCGTTTTTAATAGGCCTGACAGAATAACTACATGTAAATGGAATAATGAAATACTGGAATATATTGTATAATAAATATATGGAAATGAACCCAAACAAACCATGTTTGGTACATCCACGTGAAGCCACGCGCGAACATAAATAATTCCCTATAGATTATTGGTTGTTCTGTAATCAATATATCAAAGCCAATACCATACGTCACAAACAGCTGACATACATATTAAAGATTAATATTTTTGATGCTTAAAAGTTCTGGACCTGAACATGTTAAAAGATGGAAATCTGGACTATAATTAAAATAATTTTGCTACTCATTTGTGTATCAATATCCTTTTGCTTTAGATATCACTACAATTTTATAGTCAGAGGATTTGGACTCAAACAATGCCTATCACAGCAAGTGGTTTTGGTATTTGAACACATTGGCCTACAGCAATGTTCTAGGGAATGTTTGTTACGGACAAATTGTAAAGCAGTGGCATATAACCTAGAGAATATGAACTGTTACCTTGGTGATAATGACACATATATCACTACTTCATCCAACCAGGAGGAAATAGCATCAATATTGATGCAGTCTAAAAGACAACTTTTAAAGTCTTGTGTTGGTCATTCTTGTGACGAGTCGTCTGTATGTGCGAAGTTGTCTAGTTGTCTATCAGAGTGTGTGGCGTATTTAGCGCCAGAGAGTACGCACAGCAGAATGACTTGTGGTAACAGCCCTTCGGAGGAAACAGATACACAAACACCATTGTTAGTCAGAGATTTCACTACTACACTTACCACTATTCGAAATATTAATCCAACTGAGTGTGGAAATCGACCAAATGTACATGGAGTGAATGTTATTACGTCACAAGAACGGTCAATCGGAACGGTCCTTACATACAGCTGTAAAGATGGACATGCAACAAAGGGAGACGACATGTTAAGACGGACAATGGTCGACAATGCCAATCAACTGTACTATTTGTAATACAACATATTTCATGTCGTTTAGAAGTTTTGCGATACTGACTCTTTCAAACGCTTATATGATTTAGTGCACGATGTAGCATTTGAAACAGAATGGCAGCTTTGACGAACTGAGGACATGGGAGTTCAATAGCAAATATTTCGACGTTAACCTTGTACAATATTTTTGTATGGGCAGATCATCTAATTCAGTCAAGATGTACTCAGATCAGTCGCTTGTTTAATTAAAATAAAAATAGTATCAATACATAAACACTTATTTTACCGGTAATAAGCATTTGTATAGAACTACATTCTATATTATTGGGATTCTGTGACACATGATACAGAGGTGATACCTTTCATAAAAGATATATAAAACGGTTTTTGTGTAAGATTTATGTATTCGTGAGTTTCATTAGACAAAATATAAAGAGGAGCAAAGAAAATATAAATGTATGATATATATGTAATTTGAAATATCCCAGCTTAGCTTCGAACTTCGAACCGGTCAAATGGTCCAGGCTATTTCAAAAGTTCGCCAGTTCTATCTGAATCGTGCCTTTATTTTGTGGTTACCTAACCACGTCCAAGAAAAATCCTTCCTAAGGTTTATAAAAAAAACATTTATAAATTGTATGAACTGAAAATACCTCTGAACAACAAATACTTATTACCGATTCATTATTGGATCGAGTATATTGACGCGAACCTTTCGACATCGCCATCTTGCCACCGCGAACCAATAAGCGGGCAACTTTTGAAGGTGATTTCGGAACTCAAATGTTATTTTCTAAAAATCGTGATTTTGTTTAAAATTTATTTGATTGGGATTTAGATATATTTCGTATATTTCAGCAAGGAAAGTGTAGCCAGATCATATAATTTAATAAAATAAATCTACATTAGTTGTTGTTAAACCACTGTGGTCTTTAACATAAAGATTAGTATATAAATATTTATTGCATTATTTTTGCTGATGATATAAACTAATAAGCCAATTTGATAAAAACTTATATCATCAATATATCGGAGGACATTGTACAACTGTTTGACATCAATCACAAACTTCCTGAAATTTAAAAACACCTCGATATGTTTGTATCGTTTGTCTTATTTATTTATCTATTTATTTATTTATTCATTTTCATTTTTATTATAATTATATTTTATTACTTTTAATTTTTAATTTGGTTTTCCCTTTTCAAAATTGAACAAATGATATGACAGAACATCTTTCAGGAATAAGAAGTGATATATATATATATATTCCGCGATCTCGTGAAATGTATATGATATTGAATAACGAACCATTAATATCCTCTATATAATGGTTTCAAACATATCTTATAGGTAACATTGCTTTTATCATAATGTCTAATTTATCTTTTGTATCGTATGTCTCATTGATAAATAAAAAATACCATAAATATCTTATGAGTTTATTGTTGGTTTCAGACATGTCATATTGATAAAACTGTCAGTGTGACACATATCTAATTCGTCTGTTATTAGTATTATGTATGTGATGATGACATTTGTCTTGTTAATGTAGTGTTAGTATCATACATGTCTTGCAGATATAGTGTTAGTATCATACCTGTCTTGTTAATGTAGTGTTAGTATCATACATGTCTTGCAGATATAGTGTTAGTATCATACATGTCTTGTTAATGTAGTGTTAGTATCATACCTGTGTTAGTATCATACATGTCTTTTCGATATATTGTTAGTATCATACATGTCTTGTCGATATAGTGTTAGTATCAAACATGTCTTGTTGATATAGTGTTAGTATCAAACATGTCTTGTTAATACAGTGTTAGTATCAAACATGTCTTGTTGATATAGTGTTAGTATCAAACATGTCTTGCTAATACAGTGTTAGTATCAAACATGTCTTGTCGATATATTGTTAGTATCATACATGACTTGTCGATATAGTGTTAGTATCAAACATGGCTTGTTGATATAGTGTTAGTATCAAACATGTCTTGTTAATACAGTGTTAGTATCAAACATGTCTTGTCGATATATTGTTAGTATCATACATGACTTGTCGATATAGTGTTAGTATCAAACATGTCTTGTCGATATAGTGTTAGTATCATACATGTCTTGTCTTGTCGATATAGTGTTACTATCATACATGTCTTGTCTTGTCGATATGGTGTTAGTATCATACATGTCTTGTTGATATAGTGTTAGTATCAAACATGTCTTGTTGATATATTGTTAGTATCATACAATGACAGAAACAACAAAAATCCGTACATTTCTTTATTAGACCACAAGAGGTCAAAATGCACTCACTAATATAAACAATAAGATTTTTAAAAACCGGTCAACATCATTTCTATCGGAAATGGTCAAGACCCTAAAAAGTTCAGTGACAAACAATGATGCAATCAATGTGTCCCGATCACATAAATGAATGACGTCACTATCCTTCGGGATCCTCCCCTTAGTGAATATTGCAACAAATCTGCAACAAAAAAACCCAAGGAACAGTACATTTACCAATTTTGAAGTACATTGCATCACTTTCTTCAGTTCAAAATGAGACGGTTTTGCATTATATACCTTAAAATACCTACCTAGCGAGGCAATGGGTACCAATAGTTGATCTGACGCTGGATACAAAGAGGAAACAGCACCATGTGCTTCTCTTCAAACTGGTGGCAGAATTTCCTTTCCCAGTAGAGGCTATCTCGGGGAAGCTCTTTGGTAAGAACCACGGATAACTCGAGTCCATAGTTGAACAATTTCATTGCTTTTGCTCGCTCGGCGAAATTGGCTTTGTCCTTCTTCCTAGATCCGGAAGGTTTCCACAAGGATTTCCGTTTGATTTGACATGGGACAGTTCCACAGTGTGGACAGCGTGAAGGACCTAAACACACATTGTATATTCCAATACATCTTCAAAATAGTAAGGTTCCACAATTACCTGATAATATCACATATGTCCATTTGGAATGGAACATTTTAAATTTCGGACGGAGAAAATAAAACTTTTCCACTATTTTATCTACCGAGTTCAATCTCTCTGACCCCGGGGGTTTGATCCATCATTTATACCAAATTGAACTCATTTTATTCAAGACTGCAAAGTTTGGACAAACACCTTCATCCAGACTCCAGGAGGCAGAACAACCATTTATACTTAATTAGTTTCCCGTTTGCTCTGTGAACGCTCAAAGCAAAGGTCAAAATCCGTTTTGTCGTTATTGACTTATAGAAACTTTTGTTCAAAAAGGTGAATTGACGATGGACGCCGCGCCGTGACATATGGTCTTTGGTCCTGAAACTGAAACAATCAAAACTCAAATTATCGACATCACTTACGAGTTCTCCATTCCTTGAACTTTAAAAATATCGCCGACACGGCCTCTCTGATTCTGTTTCCAAGCGACGGCGCATTTCCCAATAATAGGGTCAGAAGTACACACACAAGGGTGTAGAACATCTCGTGTCCAATTCGCTGAAATAAATTGAAATGATTATCATTTTTTTTGGTACATATAAAAGACGTTTGGATAGGAATAGATACGTTTTCTACCCACTTATAAACCATAACTAGTGTTGAGGAAATGTGGAATAGCTAAATATTGTGAAGAGAGCTATTGTATTTGCTTATTTGTGTGTGGGATGCTTTGTTTGGACTTTTTAGGTATTGAAAAAAACCATTGAAAACAGAATTGATTGGGAAAAAGATGTTTTCTTCAATCTTTTAAATTACAACCTTGCTGACGTATTTAGCAAATAATTATGGAGTAAATTCCCTTACCAAGATCAAATCGGCTGGCGTTGGACATTCTTTCTTGATTTCGTTGGCAGTGACGTAATGATAAAACCTTTTCACATATCCGGGCTCAGGCTCCACGCTACACAAACAACGTTACAGGATGATGATGAAATATATTCTAAAGTTTAAGATTTACATATTGTTTACTCTAAAACCTTTGATATCACTGTAAAGATTGTTTTAAGCCCTAAGCTTGTTGTCTCACCCTATAAAATTATCTGTGTATGTCCAGTTGCTGATTATTGAATAAAATAGTGTTTAAACTAAAGATTATTAATTTCGATGTGTCGTATTTTCACGGGTTTTTTATGGAATCACGAGGAAGGACAAACAAATAAATAGAGATACGACGTAGTTTGTTCCGGACTTCCGTGAACTCAGTGTTTTGGTAACACCGTAAAACTTTCGACCACCGAAAATAAAAATATTCATAGAATTTAGTGCATATTGATTTACTCAATATCATTAATCATCATTAAGTGAAAAACTTACCACGTGAGGTCCCGATAAGCAGCAGGACCTTGGTGGATTGTACTCAGCATTACCACAAATAGCAGTAATAACTTGAAATCCATTGTGATACGTGAAAGATTCAACATAAAACGTTTTTATTTGGGGAGAGACTCATCATCTCCGCCATTGCTGATTGCTAAGCAGCTTAGCAACTAAAATGTGACGTCACAAATGGGCAAAAGTATTTAACCCATGATGACGTCATGCTTTTGTCTTTGTTACACAATGGAAGCGATTGTACACTAAAAGTTAATCTGACAAGGTTTTTTTCATGTCCAAATTCATCCTACTTGTTGAGTAGGTGCTAAATGATCCTAAACATGTTATATTTATATGACTGATACACAGAAATACTATTAAAATATTACATTGTGTAAGTATTATAGAAAAACAAAATCCATCTTGTGGGTATGGATTTCAGGGAAAAGGATACCGGAAGCACGATTTGCATTACCGAAACATCCAAAAAATAATAACAAGAGGCCCATGGGCCTTAACGATCATCTGACATAAAATACAAGATTTCAAATTTTGAACTTATTTTACATGGATTTAAGAATCAAGGGCACTCAGCCACTACCTTGAAACTGGGTTAAGGTTATTCATTTCAACAAACTTCGTAAACCTTTATCCCAGCATGCTACAGGCCAAATATCATCGCCCTAGGTGTTCTGGTTATTCAGAGGATGTTTGAAGTAACACACTTTGGTCAGTGCCATGTCATGATCATTTCATGCAAGTGTTGGCTCAATCGCACGGCTGGAACTTGAGAAGAAGTCGAAAATGTGTTTCAAGATGGCGGCCATCTTGGATTTTGGACCAACGCGAAATTAACAAACTTTGGTCAGGACCATGTCACGATCATTTCAGGTAAATTTAAGATCAATGTCACAAGCAGAACTACTTCAGAAGAAGTTGAAAACGTATTTTCGATGAATTTTCAAAATGGCGGCCATCTTGGATTTTTGACCAACCCGAAATTAACAAACTTTAGTCAGGACCATGTCACGATCATTTCATTTAAGTTTCAGCTCAATGAAACATGTAGAACTTGAGAAGAAGTTGAAAATGTAAATTGTTTACGACGGACGACGGACGACGCCGGACAAAAGGCGATCGCAATAAAAATGCAGAGTCCCGGATTATGTTTTTATCCGTAAATGAAAATGGTGTGACATTTACAATTTTGAATCACCAGAAGCAAAATTTTTTTTATTCTTTTAGAAAAATTTGAAAGTCCTTTAGGAGATCGTCTTAACACTGATATATGGTAGACAATGTCAAATCAAGAATGAGTTCTGTTGCTCAAAACTTAAAATATTTAATTGTTTTGTTGCTAATATATCATATGTTTGAAACCTTCTGAAAAGTCGATGATTTAGTGAAACCACAACTGGTTTCGTTATATTAAATATCTTCGCGACTTAAACTAAAGTTTCACTAGTTTTGTCAAACTAAGCGAAGTGGTGTCGCGGTTTGAATCTATACTTAAACTTGTTTATTTTTTTCCCTACCATTAATTATACACTGAAAATTCACATTTGTGTTCAATGCTTGTGTACAGCCATATATGATCATACAGTAGTAGGCCAAAATTTTAGAAACAGAAACATATATCTAAGTCAGCTTACTTAGTGTTACAATTAATTGTAGTCGATAATGCAGTTAAAGGGAGGTAACTGATATACCAAAAAGATGTTAAAACTAATGAAGGCCCGGCGCTCAACAGGGAATAAAATCATTTTATTTATTCATTTATTCATTTCCTTTCAGTGTTATTATTACATAATATGGAAACAGTTTCTTCTCAACTATTCAGGTTTATCTCAAAACTACTCCTGTTAATTGCTATCTTTATACAGATATTTCTTTTTATAACTTTTATGCAATATATTTCAAATTTGTCGTTATAACAGAATTGTACATCGTAAATCTAGAACAGGAAAAAAATCCAGAGGATATGTAAGCTGATACGGAGGTCGATACGAGGTAAAAATAAACACACACACACAAAAAACAACAACATTTATATAGCAACCTAAGCGTGAGTGGCGAGTTTTTAGCATACGGCGCGTCTGTATTAGATAAATGTTATAATCTGTTATATGTGGTCTGACTGAATCAACCGGTCTTGAAGTACTCTAATCTTCTAAAGGTGACATTTTTTATTGTCAATTAGAAAAGGGTGTCGGTTTTTACGTGGTATATTATTTCGAGTTGTACAACTGAGAAGTGCACCGTTTGTGTTGTCATGATTGCATTTGCTCCGGATGGCATGTGACGGGCCTCCCGTATGTTGTTCAGCGATGTAGCCATCGGTCACTTCTTGAAGACCTCTCCTCAAAATGATCCTGGCTGTTCAGGGGTTGATAAACTCAGCAATATAACAAACAACTGTACATGTAGATATTCAAAAGTGGATTACAATGTACTTTAGCCTGAGCGATTCAACGATTCATCCCTCCACTTCCTCAATGCTCTCTTATACATCTTCATCCTACTTCCTTTATTGAAAAGATGTTAAAAAAAAAGTCTTGAAATTGAAAAAAAAAAAAAATAAATAAATAAATGAATAAAAATCGAGTGTGATATTAAACGCATTTCCGATCACATTAATACATTTGTATTTCCCTCTGTGGTACGTATCATAGACAACCATCATCGGAGATATTGTCAGCGGTCAAGATCTGCTACATTCTTTTTCAAACTGACCTCTATGACGTAATAAAAAGATCAGTAAATCTGTGCTGCAATATATCAATATATCCCGCTTATAGTCAGCTTCCACTGCTACAGTGCTAAATAACCAACACAACAAGAAATCCGTACATTTCTTTATTGGACCACAAGAGGCCAAAATGCACTGACGAATATAAACAATAAGGGAAAAAAATTAAACACCATTGGTCCAGCTCATTTCTATAGGAAATGGTCAAGACCCTTAAACGTTCAGTGAACATCGATGATGCAATCAATGTGCCCGATTGCACAAATGAATGACGTCACTATCCTTCCGTCTCCACTCCTTCGTGGATGTTGCTACGAATCTGCAATAAAAATAGTTATATAAGAACAGTACATTTACCAGTTTTGAAGTATATTGCATTCTTTTCTTCAGTATAAAATGTGAAGGTTTTGTAAGTATTTTGCAATCAAGACCTTAAAATACCTACCTAGCGAGGCAATGGGTACCAATAATTGATCTGACGCTGGATACATAGAGGAAACAGCACCATGTGTTTCTCTTCAAACTGGTGGCAGAATTTCCTTTCCCAGTAGAGGTTGTCCCGGGGAAGCTCATTGGTAAGAACCACGGATAACTCGAGTCCATAGTTGAACAATTTTGCTTTTGCTCGCTCGGCGACATTGGCTTTGTCCTTCTTCCGAGTTCCGGAAGGCTTCCACAAGGATCTCCGTTTGGTCTGACATGGGACAGTTCCGCAGTGAGGACAGCGTGAAGGACCTAAACAAACAATGTTTATTCCAATACATCTTCAAGATACAAAGGTTCTACAATTGATCTGATAAGTCACATATGTCCATTTGGAAAGGAACAGTTAGATATATCCGGACGGAGAGAGGAAATATCACAATACAAGAGGTCGATCGTTCACATGGACATTTTAACTTTCACATAAGAAAATAAAACTTTTCCACTATTTTATCTACCGGGCTCAATCCCTCTGACCCCGGGTTTGGATCCATCATTTACACCAAATTGAACTCATTTTACTCCAGACTGTAAAGTTTGGACAAACACCTTTATCCAGACTCCAGGAGGCAAAACAACCATTTATACTTAATTGGTTTCCCTTTTGCTCTGTGAACGCTCAAAGCAAAGGTCAAAATCAATTTTGTCGTTATTGACTAATAGAAACTTTTGTTGAATAAAAGTGAATTGACGTTGGAAGCCGCGCCGTGACATATGGTCTTTGGTCCTGAAACTGAAACAATAAAACCTCAAATTATCGACATCACTTACGAGTTCTCCATTCCTTGAACTTTGAAAATGTCGCCGACAAGGCCTCTCTGATTCTGTTTCCAAGCGACGGCGCATTTCCCAAAAATAGGGTCAGAAGTACACACATAAGGGTGTAGAACATCTCGTGTCCAATTCGCTGAAATAAATTGAAATGATTATTTTTTTTCTTAGAATGGTACATATAAAAGAAGTTTGGATAGGAATAGATTTCTACCCACATATGAAACATAACTAGTAACTGAGGATATGTGGAATAAGAGATGAAATGAAACGGATAGATAGTAACAAAAGGACTTGACACAAATGTATTATAAGTATCAAATCCCTGTGTACATATCAATGGAACATACAAACATGATAAGAGATTCTGCTAAATATTGTGAAGAGAGCTATTATATTTGCTTATTAGTGTTTGGGGTCTTTTATTTGTGTTTTTCGTTTTCTTGGGCATTGAAAAGTATCATTGAAAACAGAATTAATAGAGAAGAAAATGTTTCCTTCAGTCTTTTAAATTACAACCTTGCTGACGTATTCAGCAAATAATTATGGAGTGAAATCCTTACCAAGATCAAATCGGCTGGCGTTGGACATTCTTTCTTGATTTCGTTGGCGGTGACGTAATGATAAAATCTTTTCACATATCCGGGCTGAGGCTCCACGCTACACAAATAAAGTTACAAGGTGATGATGAAATATATACTAAAGTTTAAGATTTACATATTGTTTACTCTAAAACCTTTGATATCACTGTAAAGATTGTTTTAAGCCCTAAGCTTGTTGTCTCACCCTATAAAATTATCTGTATACGTCCAATTGCTGATTATTGAATAAAATAGTGTTTAAGATTATTGATTTCAATGTGTCGTATTTTCACGGTTTTTTTATGGAATCACGAGGAAGGACAAACAAATAGAGATACGACGTAGTTTGTTCGGGACTTCCGTGAACTCAGTGTTTTGGTAACACCGTAAAACTTTCGACCATCGAAAATTAAAATATTCTCAGAATCTAGTGCTTATTGATATACCCAATATCATTAATCATCATTAGGTGACAAACTTACCACGTGAGGTCACGATAAGCAGCAGGACCTTGGTGGATCGTGCTCAGTATTACCACAAATAGCAGTAATAACTTGAAATCCATTGTGATACGTGAAAGATTCAACAAAAAACGTTTATATTTGGGGAGAGACTTATCATCTCCGCCATTGCCGATTGCTAAGCAGCTTAGCAACTAAAATATGACGTCACAAATGGGCAAAAGTATTTAACCCATGATGACGTCATGCTTTTGTCTTTGTTACACAATGGAAGCGATGGTACACTAAAAGTTAAACTGGCAAGGATTTTTTTCATGTCCAGATTCATCCTACTTGTTGAGTAGGTGCTAAATGATTGATACACAGAAATACTATTGAAATATTACATTGTGTAAGTATTATAGAAAAACAAAATCCATCTTGTGGGTATGAATTTATAGAAAAGGTATAACAGAATCCCGGTAATTTTGAATCACTTAATGCAGAATCGACTTTTTTCAAATTGAAATTTAAAACCCTTTAGGAATTCGTCTTAACACTGGTTTCATTATATGAACTATCTTTGCGAGTAAAACTGTTTTTCGTTTGTTGTCTCGTTTCTACTTCCGGGATTTTACTAAAGCAGTGTTGTCAAAGTAAGAAAACAGGGGTGATGTCGCTGTTTCAATCCATACTTAAACACGTGTTTTTGTGTGCGTGTGTTTTTTTTTTTTTTTTTTTATGTTTTTATCCTTAATTTTATGTTAATTGCACATACATATATCATCACACAGTAGTAGGCCAATTTGTTCGAAACAAATGTAAAATATATCTTAGTCTAGTCGAAGGGAGATAACTCAGGAAATTGCGAGTTTTTTTTTTTAATTTTTATTTTTTTTTTGTACGACGTGTCTATATTCAATAAATGTTATAATCTGTTCTTTGTTATCTGAGTGAATAAAACAGTCTTAAAGCGCCCTATTCTTCTTACAGTAACTTTTATAAAGTCAAGTTGAATAAGGCGTCAAGTTATACGGAGTATTTTATTTGGAGTGAGAAACTGACCGTTTATGTTGTAGTGGTTGTGATTTTGGACAAGACAGTTAACCCTTATTGCTATAGATGGCATGCGATAGGGCTCCCGTATGTTGTTCAGTGAGGTGGCCAGCATCCATTACATGGAGATGCCACTTCAAAATGTATACGGGTTACTAAACTCAGCAATGAAACAAACAACTGTATATATAGAGACACTGATCTGAGCGATTCGCTCATATGTGTATGTGATAAATATTAAAAACTAATGATGGGGTGGTTGTTGTATTGCCGGATGGAGGTTTTCGAATTCTTATCCTGCTTACATTGACTCCATAACAACGTCATATCATGGAGTGTTTGGAATACGAAAGGCCACTACTATGTCAGCTGGATTGAAGCAAGGACGTAAGTGTTCAAAGTATCAGAAAATGACAACAGAGTAAAAACATACAGTGGAAGACATCGTTAATGATACATCCGAACAATTCCAAGTATATCACTATTGTGCTAAGTCTGGCGCGGCCATGATGCAAACATTCCCGATCCCTCAGAAGCTGAACTACGGATCTGGAAAACCCATCTTAAACATAAAATTCAGCCAAGATAGGTTTTGCGTTCTCTCACTCTGTAACAAATTACGAAAGGGAAAGTTCCTGTCATCATCTGCTTTTTGAGATAACAAAGCCTGATTTTTTTCACATTGAAAAAAAAAAAAAAAAAAAACAAGCACAAATATTTCAAGTTCAAAAATTTGTAACTTCGTGATTTCACAAAATTCCCCCTATGAGAAAGTATACTTTACATGTAAGTAAACAGTGATTATTCAAATGTGCGTGGCAGCGGATGTGAAAAGCCTCTTTATGATTATTCTAAGTGTATATTTTCGATGTCCTGTGTATCTATGTACCGTTATTTGTACAATGTTCTACAATTTATATTCAATATTAGTGTCCAACGTAAATGATGTTACATGCACATGTAATTAAAGCCCAACAGGCCTGCCTTGTTAAACAAAGCCTGTAATATGCTGGTTGATTATATATTCCTTGGTGTGTCAGTACAAAACACAAATAAAACAACCATTTTTTTTTTTTTTTTGCCCTAAATATTTGTTACTTACACCATGCAAGACGATAAAAGCATCGCTTGTCCCGAAACCACGACGGAAACATAACTGGCTGTCTGATATGACATTATGGTTATCTGACCACTCTAATGATCTGTTATTAAGAACGGAAGTGACAGCTTTGACAGACAACTTACCAAGTCATGTCTCTATGTGACCAACAATCTGCAAAAACACACCTCCAGTGAAATCAAATTGAATAAATATTGTAAATGGGAAAATAAAAAGAGTTGGAGGAGTCCAACGTCCTGTGAGTGGTACTAGTTGGTAGATGTATCGGTAGAACCAACGTCCTGTGAGTGGTACTAGTTGGTAGATGTATCGGTAGAAGAATCCTAGGTGGATCCGAAGGATTCTAGCAGAGCTCCATAGACGATAGGTACTAACAACTTAATAAAGGATGGAGCATCAACACCAAGGATTCCGTGATCGGTAGTTTTATTTGGTTAACATGTTTCGGCTAGCTAGACTAGCCGTCATCAGAACAACGGTACAAGTATCGGCTAAGCTTGAAATTACGGTTCAGCCGTGATATAATAACGCATTGTCTTTATCACGTGATGATAACAATACAGTTATTGTAAATAATGGAACATTGTTTTTCAATTTTCGAAATATTCATTCAACAGTTAATCTATAAATTGAGACCTGTTTATAACCGTCAAGATTTCTTCCTCAGCCATTTCCTTGTTCTAAGCTCAGGAAAAATACATTCATCATAATTGTGTTCATCTACATCACTACCATTATTCTCAGCTTCGAAAAATGCGCATAAAAGTCGTTCACTGACAATTGTAGCAGCATTTCTCCCCCTTTGGTAGAGTTATGATTACAAGATTATCACAAACACCCTCTTTTAGTAAACGTGGATTCATCAAATCGGATCCTGTAACTTTAGATGTGTTTAGTGATAGTAAAACATTAGATACGCCTGATACAGTTATAACATTATTGTCTTGTTTGTTTTCCGGGGTTTGATTTGCTGGGAGATGAGTATGTGCATCATCATTGGAAAGTTTCGCTTTATCACCCGCAGTTACGGACTGGAAATCATTATGTTATAGTATAGCTATCGTGTATGATTTACCAGAATATCCGATAAATAATTTATAGTGTTCCACCAAGAATTACGTATTGTATACAAGTAGATATTTCACATATATAAAACAGCACAGACGTTGGCATTCATTTTATAAAAATAAGTATTTTCAGCAATTTTACATTAGCTTTGTTATTTTATAATTTAAACGCCTTAGAATCAAGCTATCAGCTGGGGATATGAACAATATTTTATTAGCTTGTTTTATATAGTCCTTGTCACTTTTATTTGGCTGTTGTTAGCGGGTCTATTTCTCTTAAGTTTCCTTTTTGGCTGACAGTGTCAATATTATGTTCTGTTTTGTAGGTCCTTTTTACATATGTACATGTATGACTGAATTTATCTTTTAAATATATTTGATTGTAAATATATTTATTTTTCGCTTCATCGAATTTTCATAATAAGTTAATGCATTATCGTATGCATATGTTGTCTATCATATGTCCCGTGAAAATAGCAAACGAATGAAAAAAATAAGAAAAACATGATCAGTTGGGGAGTTAAAAAAGGATCGGCTGGGGAGTTAACAATGATCGGCTGGGGAGTTAACAACGATCGGCTGGGGAGTTAAAAATGATCGGTCGGGGAGTTAAAATGATCGGCTGGGGAGTTAACAACGATCGACTGGGGAATTAACAATGATGGGAGTTAAAAATGATCGGCTGGGGAGTTAACAATGGTCGGCTGGGGAGTTAACAACGATCGGCTGGGGAGTTGAACTGCAATATGCTATACTCTGACAGTGAAGTGTGATGGTACTTTTTGTTTCCCCCGAGTACCCTCATTATCAGTAGAAATTAACTCAGCCTCTTGTGGACGTAATATCACAGTCAAACCACAGGTGTTGGCACAGAATTCTATATTATATTTATGGTAATATCAATGTATACACATGCTGATCATGATTACGAGCACCCACCGATTGATTAAAACAAATAATTTCATTATCGCGTGTATTTTAACAACATTATTCAGCTATTCCCCTCACACATAAACGATATTTGTACACTGTTATTTGCGTAAAAATCAATTACTTTGAAGCCATGTAGGAATGGAGAACACAAAGTAAAGAAATTCTTTCAAGTTGCTTTGCATTGCAAAACTACATCTGTTCTGAAAATCACCTATCGACCAAGTTCAGTGTTAAGTTGCGAATTAAAAGTTATACCGCACAACATGACAAAATATTTGATAAAATAGGTTAATGGTGTATCTGTCATTCCTTTGTGTAATTTGGAGAAACGGAAAATTGATTAAAAATTCAAAGTGTAGCTCAATTTTAATACAAAAGAAATCTATTATAATCCACCACTACTTATAAGACTGTCATCAACACAGCTAACTGCGTAGTTTCAAAAATCAATAATTGTATTCAACTGTTTTAGGTAATTGACCAAAAAAATGTGAAGCTTTCAATGGTTACATACTTTCTCTAGGAAAGTTTTTGTTCTTTTCGATAGATAAACATGTTGAGTAAGAGAGAAAATAATTACATTAAACTATGATGCAATGATATAATCGAAAATCAAATCCGAAATTGCTAGAAAAGGAAAGTAAAAGAAATACCTTATTTATAATGCCTTGTAAATCAGAATTAAAGCTGATTGGTTGTTCTGAAACATTATCGAATCGCTACAGCAAAGTTCCATAATTAAGAATAAACAACCCGTTATCATTTTAGAAATTAAAGATGACAATCTGGTATTTACTCCAAGCTCTATTATTATTAACTTGTGAGTTTTCTGTGTGTTGCCGCGCGGGCCAAAACGTTTTTATAGATAGCGGGTTAGCAATGAAACATCGCTTCTACCAGGAAACGTTTTTGGTATTTAAACATATAGGCATACAACAATGCGCGAGAGAATGCTTGTTACAAAGGAAATGTAAAGCAGTGGCGTACAAACGTGAAAATTTGTACTGTTACCTTGGTGATAATGACACATATTTAACCACTTCGACGAATAAGAATGAAATAGCGTCATCCAGAACGATGATAGTGCAGTTGGAGAAACAACTATTGAAGTCGTGTGCTGGTCATTCTTGTGACGAGTCATCAGTGTGTGTGGAGTTGTCCAGCGGAATATCAGAATGTGTGAATTGGTGAGAATCAACCACATCAAGCATTGAATTCGAAGCTGAAGTGACTAATGATTTATAATTTGCGTTGGAACGGAGACAAGGTGTTAGGCAGATGGACAATGGTCATCACTGCCATGGACTTGTTCGATCCGTAGTCTCATAAATGTTACACGATGACAGGTGAGTGCATACTTTACGTAAACATGATGTACCAATAATGAATCGGCATCCACAACACAAGAGAACACATTGTTATAAATCTCAGAGACGACAACTACACTGATTACTACCCAAGGTCAGAATTCGGTCGCGTGCTGAAATTCCCCAACTGTATCAAAGGAGAACGTCCCTACTTCACAAAAACGGTCAATCGGAACGGTCCTCACGTACAGCTGTCAAGATGGACGAGTTACTAAGGGAGAAACGGAGTCGACTTGTAGAAATAATAATAAACATTCTTTATTGAGGATAAAACATGTTTAGCCAAAGACGAATCTACCACATGGTCCTCTTGTTAGTAAAATACAAAAATAAGTTACAAAAATTAGCTTAAGACAGTACAGATAATAAGATAAAAATAGTAATACAGCACTATAAGATAATCATAAGATTACAAATTAATATCACAGCATTTGTTAGTTAAAAATTATCACAGAATGCATAAATTTCATGTAAAATTATTTTGTCAAGTTAAATGGCTATTGCCTAATATACATACATGCTAACATAGCAAAACAATAAAAATTGAGCTAATATATGCTAATATAGTATAAACTAAAAAATGTAACTTAATTAAGAGACTGAGTTGTTTAAAAGCTATGAAGATATTTGACAAGCTTTTGCTTACAACTGGGAAATGTATTTACGGTCTTCAACTCATCTGAAAGACCATTCCAAAGTTGGATGCCGGCGATAAAAAAACTGTTTGGAATATAATGTTGTTCTGTGTTTCGGAATATTAACGTTATTTGCATCTGAGAACCTAGTATTTATGGAATGGACATTTCTTACTAAACAAAAATTCTCTGATAGGTAATTTGGTATAGCTCCATGTAGACATTTAAGAATCATACATAACGTTCTGAATTTTAGATATGTCTCAATAGGCATCCAATTTAAAGTTAAAAACATATCCTTAGAAGGGGTGTCATATGGAGCCTCCAGAATAGTTCTGGCCGCTTGCTTTTGAGCCATTGATAACTGATTGATCAACTTAGCTGTGCACCCTGACCAAACTGTGCTACAATAAATGAAATTTGGAAATACGCATGAGTTATAAAACTTTAGTCTCCCACTAATTGGGAGATATTTACGAATTCTACGCAGCAATCCTAAGCGCTGTCTAATTTTGGTAACAATGGATGAAATATGTCCATGGAAGGACAAACACTCGTCTATATTTACACCCAAAAGTTTTTCTTGGCAAACCTGCTCTAAAAGAACATCCTCCATATATAAGTTTAAAGAATAATCATTTCGTGATATTTTTTGTTTTGAAGTAATTAACATGCATTTGGTCTTACTTGCATTCACAATCATTTTGTAATTACTTGTAGAGACGGACAATGGTCGACAATGTCAATGACCTGTTTCATTTGTAATGCAAAATATTTCGTCTTCGATCAAAATCTGAATTTCTGCTATAGAATTGAAAACTCTCAGCAAAACACTTACGAGAACACTGGTCTTCATTGTAACACTATGAGAGGTATATCAGCCGAAATTGACAAAAACGACAAAAAATGCAATTTTCTCAGTCTTAACGGTACACGCATACGTAGACGGTACTGACGAGGCAGAAGACGGTAGACATTTTATTTCGGATGGTACTATGGCGAATACAGAACTTTTCACAACCAACGCCCTCTTACTCGGTGATACCAGCTTCTTCAATTTAAGAGGAGATCTTGTCGAAACTTTGTTTACAAATACTAAGGAAAAATAAGTAAATGTGAACAGCTGTACTGTAATCGTTATATATTGCTTTATTTGTTATTTTATGAACAGATATCAAGAACAAATAGATATCCTTATTTCCTCCTTATGCATGCAGACACAATCATGCAAACTTTATAAAGCAAATGAAATGTAGGTAAAATAAGAATATTATGTACAAAATATTACTGTCTCTAATATCAATATGTAAGCGGCCTTACGCCCATTTAATCTATTTTACTATCTCACAAATTTTCAGTCAAAAATTTTGATGCAGTTCATCAGTACAACCTATTCCCATATCCACATCGATATATTGATGACTGCCTAGTATCAAGAACATAACAGTTTCTGATCCGTTTTTTAAATTTGAATGTTTAGCTATTGTTCCTATCGTTGATGTTGTTATGAATCTTTAACTAGCATAGATAAAATAATGTCATTTACACATCATTGAATTGTCATTATTTCTCTTTCGAATGATTCCATTAAACACGATATATGGAAATTAATTCTTTGCCATCGCGAACATTACACATTCTTACTTCAGAAATTCTCATATCGTCATATACAACTATCTCCGTATTGTTCCTAATTATGTAAAATATATAAAACATTTCTTTAAATTTGTGAAATATGTAATGTATATGTATTCAAATTGTGATATGATCTCAACCTAATGTTGTCATATTAAATCACAAATAACGCAGGTTACTGTAAAATTGGTAATATTTGTAGAGAATTTAATTTGATTTAAATTAAATGAAACAGGAACAATCACAAAATATTAGCACCCTAAAATTAAACAATTATAAAGTAACTTTAAATTACGCAACATATTTAATGATACAAAACTTTTCTTATCGATCATCCATTCCTCCTAAATATATATTGAGTAAATATTTACTTTTGTGTCGTATGTGATTAGATCTAATAAGTATTGATCGTTGCTTTATACTATGTTCATAAAAGGATAATAGAAGATGACGCCACATATTTGATCATGTCATTTTTTTCTAAGCACTTGGCATAAGATGATACCTTTGCATAGACTAGTGATAATTAATTACAATTTAGCCTTATTTAATTTCGCTTTTTTAAATATTAAGATTATTTATCATTCAATCTTAGATTTCAGCGCAATGAAAAGTAGTAAAAAATGCAAAAATGCTCCCATTTTGGAGATTTTCTCCAGCAGTTAGATATATCATTTACGAAAAATAACTAGAAATAAGTGACATCAATCAGCACCAGGATCTCTATTCCATTCCAATCGACACACATAAGGATCAAAAGTAAGGACAAATCCACACTTATTTACTTCACAAGCTCTGACTTTCCTTTTGGACACAACTTTCCCCAAGGAAAGCCGAGGCGTCCATAAATGAGGGTCAAGTAAGGACAAATCCACACTTATTTACTTCACAAGCTCTGACTTTCCTTTTGGACACAACTTTCCCCAAGGAAAGCCGAGGCGTCCATACATGAGGGTCAAGTAAGGACAAATTCTCATTTTGAAATTTATGACACAAGCACATACGAAACAGCTAACTTAGGTATTTAATTAACTCTGCTATATTTAATTCTAAATTGGTATCAAAAAGACGCTATTCAATTACGGTCAATAAGGCATAAAAATTCCTGTGGTTCTCTTCAAAAGAATTTCTTTTCGTAGGGTCAGGAATTCGTGGTAGGCACATGTGAAATTGGCATGTCAACAAGATTCGCAATTCAAATTCAAAATGGATGACATAAGCCAAAAATATGAAGAATAAAAACACAAGGAATGTCAACCTGGTGTTCCGAGGGAGATTGGGCTTTTAGCTTCTTCGGTGACACTGGACATGTAAACCTAAATCATACGAAGTGTTACGTTCTGAAAAGATAGTCAGATATATTTATGAACACCAAATATATCTAACTTCATTCTGTAAGAGAAAATGTTGTATTTATCAAGAAGAACATGATGGTAGCTTAAACCTCCCAGAGCATCTTCAGCAGCAATCACATTTCAAATATAGTGTAGTCGGATTATTATTATTATTATACAAATTAAACGATAATAGGTATTAACATCATACTGCATCTAAAATGTCCCCGGCGTTTATTACAGATTTAGAAAAAATACGTATTACCTGTTAGTTTTCAAAGTGTCAACAATATTATTGTAATCAATCGAGTACGATGTCTTTTCAATCATTATGACATTTCTCCTACTGCTCCTATGTCAAGGTCCACGTAAATTTGTCCTAAAGAATGACGTGTTTTCTATATTTGCATTCATACGCCATTTATTCAACTACCAAGAAATATATTGCATCATACATAAAAGAAATGGATCTATATCCACATCAGGTGATTATTAGTGTATTGATCTGATAATATTGATTTTTGATCCAACTCAACACATCATCAGTAAGTTTTAGTCAAAAAAGATTAAACGTCTTCTTCATGTTTTTAAAGCGCGATTACTCCAGATAACTTGGATTGAAGTTTTAAATAGCGTATATTTCGGCAAGTAAACCTTGTACATTTTTTTGTGGCTACGCTGATAAACATCAAAATTAGTATTATTATATAAATACTTATTTAAATATACTTTTATATCTCGAAATCTATTATCGAAATCGTGATAATGAGAGCAAGCTCAAGAAAATTAAAATCTTAAACCGTTTTATTGGGTGGTCGGATGGCGCAGTGGTAACCGCACTAGCCTTTCACCCAGACGTCTGGGGTTCGATTCCCGGAACAGGTATCTAGTCATCTGCGTGAGCACGTGGGTTTTACGCAGGTACTCTGGTTTTCATCCACAGTAAGACCTCTCGCACGATTCCATCCGGACCAACAACAGTAATTAGTACATATAACAAGTTTACTTATTCCAAATACAATACAGCATATAGGATACAAATATACATAATTAATTGTGTCAAATTCTTAAGTAATATACAAGATGGCGGAGGACAATTCTATTCGAAGACGTAATTAAGTACAGAAGTTTCATTCATTACAGCATGACAGAAATACTGTAGCAAATATTCGAAAACAAAACAACATAGCAATAAACATGACGTTATGAAATTTGGAAACACAAATGCAACAACACTACAGAAACTAAGTTATCCAAAAATACACGAAGGGTTGATTTAAAGTATTTTTCAGTATGCAATTAACGAACAAATGTCTGTTACATTTAATTCAATAACAGTATTTTTTCAGAAATTATTCCAACATAATGACAATTATTGACCGAGGAGAGTTTTTTCTTTTAGTTGTAGCATGCAAAAGTTATTTACCAAGTTTGTTTAAAACTTTCACACTTTTACAGGAAAAAAATTCCATTAGTTTATAACACTTGGATGGCGATAATAGTACTTTTTAATGTATCTACTTCTTAAATCAGAATATGTAGGACAAAGTAGTACAAAATGTATTTCATCCTCGATATCATTTTGATCACAAACTGTACAAATTCTCTGACTTCTGGGAATGTTCTTATAACGACCTGATTCAATGTTAAAATTGTGTCCTTGCATGCGAAATTGACTCAGTAATTGTTTTAATCTAACTTTAATGGGCTTACTAAGGTAAAACTGAATACCAAATATATCCACAAGATGTTTGTAAAAATGTACAGATAACATTTGGAAGATACATCAAAAGCACTGCGTAACTCTTGAATAAATACGTCATGCACACGTTGTTTGTACATTTGCAGAAAAGTATTCTCATTAAATACATTTTGGTTTAACCAGATATGATTAAATCCCAAATTATATAGTTCATGCTTAATTTGATAAACCCAATTAAATTTACAATTAGGTTTTCTGACATTCAATTCAACTAAAGCATCGTAACAAGTAGTATAAGTTGTAAAAACTTGCTTTACAATTGTTGGAAAACAAATAAGCGTTTAATTTGACAACACTACAGAGACTCTATGATCTAAAAATAGAAATATCCGTGGTGAATTGCTACGATGTGTCCCATTATACAGTTTGATTTGAACGGCTAGTGACATGGCCTTGACTTATGTAATGTAACTTCCCGGAGGGAACGTTATCAACATGACCGACATATTCGATAGCATTAGGTGCTAACTTTTAAAAGTTAAATACAATAAGAAAATTGATATGTTAATTTTTTCATATATCTGTATTGGATTCAGAAGTGGAGACCAAATATCAGACAATTCTACATTAATATCTGTCACCTTGAAATCATACTTAAGCAATTGCCAAAGTAATGAAAGCATATTTTCCAAGCCATGTTACCTTAAAACATTGAACCTAGTTGAAACTGTTTTAAAAGTTCTGATGCTAACCACGAATACTACTAAAAAGGGAAAGATTAGACCGAAAATTTAAATGTGAAATGAAAATATTTTGATTTTTTCTATAAAAGAAAGAAAAATTGAATTAGAGTTAACTTGTTGACAAAGCTGACTAAGCTAAGAAGGTAGAAGGGCATGAAAAATCTTATCTGCAATGGGCTAACATATCTTAATTTAAACACTATCACTAACACAACAGCATGGGTCTAAGGCTGGTAATTTTAGGTATGTATGCAAATGCCAGTATATTTTACTTTGCTTTTACATTAAATGCCTCGACTAAATAAATATATTTAAAAAGCGAAATGTAAAAATTATATTTAAAAAGCAAAATGTGAAAAAAAGAAGAAAAAAAAAATTATCAGCAGTTCACAACTTTATATCTGTGTGACAAACATACAATTTTGTAACCGAATCTTGATTAATTTAGCCTTCGAGTATCATTTCATAGAAATAGATTTAGCCTTGTTGTAAAAAGTATAACCTGTCTGTAACGACCATTATAGACAGTAGTAAAAGTGGTCGTTATAGACAGGTTTCATTACTCCACAGATGACCTTTATAGCTGATTATTTGCTGTACAAATTTATCATTTAAGTATACATGACATACATGACTTATTGAATTTAAATTATACCTTGGATCTTTAGTTTATATAACATTGAACCATATGGCAGTTAATGAAAATTGAAATCCAACAGCCCAAGTATCCAGCTCTTATTTCAAATGTATTGTTATTTTTCCAAATTGTGGTCTAACACGAAACATTACAAACTTGACCACAACTGTTAGCAATAAATTCGTTCGTCATGATAGAGCATGTGAATAAGGTTAGATTAGAGACAATGTCGGGAAAAATGTCAGAGGTATTCGTGGGTCAGCAAATTCGTTATCATTTCAAGAATACTGAAACCTCTCATGAAATACCATACTTGATATACATGTACAACACTTTGGTTTGCTAGTATTTTAACCATTAGAACAAAAGTACTGAACATATGTTATTTCAGCCAAGTACTATATGTTCTTTATCTCATGGGGAAAAATCAACGAAAAAATATATATTAATTTATATGTGAACTTTTATACTGAAATTAGACCTTCTCAAAACTTGCTTATCAAAATTACAAAATGAATCGATGTTATCCTGAGCGTAGTACTGTTAAATTGATGGTAATGATACTACTTGGTCTGACGTACGATGTGCGCAATTTTCACAATTTAGTTGGTCGAGGTTGACTTTATCAGAACATACTTTTCATATTTGTCATGTTGCAAAAGTATGTAAATGTAACACAAGTATCAGAAGTGATACCTAATAAACTCTACGCATGCGTAGTGACCAGTCTGGTGTTGGTTGAGTCCACCCTGCCTCGAGGGTGTGTCCCTCTCCAGCAACATCCGTTTTCACAATCCAACCCTGGAGATGTCTTTGGAACGTCCAGTGAAATCGGCAACAAGGCTAGGCCAACTAAGATGGGAAATCTACGTTCTAAAGGAGCCATTCCCACTGGCCATTTCATGACCAACGTCATCAAAGATCATCCGGTACCACTTCGACTGTTTCCGTATGAAGGTAACCAAGTATATATTACAATTGGTTGTTTCAATTCATTTTCTGTATGCTAAATAACAAGACGTTCCTGCTTTTAAAATTACTGCGTAA